GATTAAGACCACTAGTTGACTAATGACTGTATGATTAAGACCACTAGTTGACTAATGACTGTATGATTAAGACCACTAGTTGACTAATGACTGTATGATTAAGACCACTAGTTGACTAATGACAGAACAATTAAGACCACTAGTTGACTAATGACAGTATGATTAAGACCACTAGTTGACTAATGACAGAACGATTAAGACCACTAGTTGACTAGTGTGACTTATCAAATCGAACAGTTGACTTGTAAACATTGTGTATTTAGTGTATTTAATGTATTTAGTGATGAAGATGATGAACTATTGGATGAAACAGATTCTTAAATCCAGAGACATTGAATAAATACTCAAAGGGCTTGCCGTACTTTAGTCACCGAACTTTCTTTTGTAAAACATCAAAGGTGGTTTATAGATCTTTTTAGTTTCTTAATAAGATGATTGTTGATGATGTTTTAGTTTAATTAATTATCAGCTGTTTGCAGCCACACATTATGTATTTATTTATTTATTTATTTATTTATTTATTTATTTATTTATTTATTTATTTAAAAACAAAGAAACATAATTTTCTTAAATTTCCAGCAGCAGATTCTCTTGGCTTCGGGCAGCTCAGGTTGTGTGACGTGTGCTTGTGTGCTTTAATTTTTCTTTCTTTAAACAGTTTTTGCAGTTTAATTCTTAGGTTTAGTGCATGATCAGTTTGAGCAACATATCCTGATTTGATTTGTATTTTTTTAAATAAATCATTGAATGACTGATTCAGTTCTGTCAGGCGTCCCGAAAGCCTCCGAAGGGAAAGTAGTTTTGAACGGTGCAAACTGACTTTATTATTAGAAGCTTCTGGTGCGTAAAGATGACTTCCTGTCCTCGAACTGTTAACGGTAAAAAGGCGATAATCACCTGAAACAAGCTCACTTTCCCGGCCAGGCTTTGGGGACGTCGGTGGCATCCTTCCTCAGTTGACACCAAATTGTTTATTTTTTTAGGACCCTGTGGTTTCTAAAATCTGGGACTGATGAGCCACAGAAAGACAGAGAGCCAGCAGAAAAGAACAGGGTCTGTGTCCTTCACTTCTCACCATCACCTATCACACTGTCATGCACTAAACCACTGTGTCTCTGTGTGTTTGTGTCCACGTTGTGTCTCTGTGTCCTCGTGTGCCTTTGTATACCTTGGCTCTGTTTGTGTTCCGTGTCCATCAATGTGCATGCACTTCTACAAAAATGACAAAATGTGCTTTTTAACGCTCACCTTGTGCAAAAAACAGCAGAAAGGATTTTCGTAATCGGACGACAAAACGCTCCCAAAGCTTCAGCAGAAAGACGGCGGCCGTTAACTGAAGGTCATCTTTCATCTGCCTGATCTCATGTTTCCTCCCCGAGGCCCAGGCGCAAAAACAAAACCTTGTTTCTCCTCCAGAATCAATAAAAGAGCCGTCGTTCCCTCCTGAAACACTTCACAGGCTTTAAATTTGCTCAAACAAATTGTTTGGATCCAGAATAAAAGCTGCGCTCGTCCCCCGGCCTCGTTAATTTTATAAAACGTTTTAAGAAAACCTGCAGTTCAGACATGAAAATGAAACCTGAACATGAAGGGCCTCTGCAGGAGATTTCACAGAAACTGGTTCAAATTGTGTGTTTCTGTATGGAAGACCCAAAGTGACATAATTAAAAATAAAAGCACAATTAAATAAACAGCCCAATAAATAAATAAATACTTAAAAAGCACAAATTAATTTAAATGAAATGTTTTATAATTTAATTAACCTTCATATATAATTTCCAGCTTAGTTCCAACAAGTTTAGCTGTTTATTTGCTTCCGTTCTGCTCTGATCACTTTTATATCAAGATAAAAAATGAAATCTGACACGTTGTTTCTCTTCTGTTGGTTCATCCAGAACTTTCTGATGGTTTCATATCCGTTAGATTTAGATTATTTATGCTCTAATATATTAGTGAAAATGTTGTTTTTAATGTTATTTTCTTCATAATCAGTCCTTTTTACAGTAATGTAAAAAATAAATATAATAAATCCAGACTTTTGTTCTGCTGTGTTGCAGCTTCTCTCAGTCACCTGGTTTAGACTCAGTCTAGTTGTTCGATGTACCTCTATGATGAGCTCTCATGAACCATTTGTCGATTGCTTTTTACGCAGGACGCTCTTTTTAACACAACCTAGATTTGAACCTGCAACCTCCTGAGATAAGAAATATAATAAAAACAATAATAAAAATAAAAAATGAGATAAAAACCTGAATGAAGCTGTCAGAGAGTGACTTGATCTACAGCTCATTATCCTCCGTCAGCAAAACAGAAACGTCTCTAACTCAGTCAAACACACTTTGAGCTAATGTGTGTGGTAGTAGCTGAGAGTCCTCCCCATCACATACTCTGAGCTCCAGAGGTGGGGAGGAACTAGTTACATTCATCAGTTACATTTATCAGTTACATTTACTTGAGTAACCTTTTGGAAAAAATATCCAAAACTCCTTCACATCAACGGATATTTGAGAGTAAAAACAAACAGAAAAAGGCTCAAAATTCAGAATATATTGTGAAAATTTGACAAATTTTTAAAACTGAGCCCTATTTATTTATTATTTATTTATTATTTATTTATTTGGGTGCGGGGTCATAATCATCTTAAAGCACCTGATGGGTTTTCCTCACCTGGATGCTGACGCAGCGTTTTGTGTCGTTTTGTCAGATTTGACGTTTTACATGTAAAAACATAAACTAACCCTGATCCTCAGGGTCAGAGGCTTCCTGTCAGACATGGATGAAGCACTTAGAGATTAATAACATATTAATTCAAACACAAACCTTGCC